AACAGACTTTGGTGGGCTAGTTTGATCTCTCCAGCCATCATTTATACCCCTGTTTCTACAGACAAGCACATTCTGAATTTTAAACAAATGAACTTTTGGAACAGATCCTGATCGTAAGCTGGAGCCTGTTTAGCTGTGCATGTAATGTATTAACTTTTGTCCATGTTGTGAACAAAAGTTGTTCTACATAAGCAGTGCCCATCTGAAAAAGGAACAGTTCTCCAGAGACACATGTGGTAGGGACATTTAAACAAAATGTCGTAAGTAAACAACAGGCTTTCACTTCTAGTGTTCTGGTCATACCTGAAAGTTAGTGCTACATTATCTAGAGAAGTGAATTTTTGTATTCCTTGGCTCTGTGGTACATTTTTCTAGCTAGCAACATAGAAGTATTTTTCACTTAAAATAATCTCACAACCCAAATGACAAATCATTCCCCACATGCTATCATACTGAAGCACGACGTCTTTCACTGTTAACATGAAACAGAATTTTCTTTCCAAATGCAAATTTTCCTGGACAGAATGCTTTAGTGACACAATCCTGCTGTAAGGAGACACTGTGTTAGTCTAGCTCTCATGCAGTTGTGGATGTGTTTGGAATACCATGAAGCAATTTCCTTGCAGACAAATAAAAAGGGCAACTCTTTGCCTGCAAATAAGAAGACCAATGCTATTTATAAATCAAGAGCCCTGGACCATTACAGGAACTCTAAGAACCCTATTATAGTAAGAGACTCAGCCTGCCACGGTGCCACACATCTGTATTCCCATCCCTCTGGCAGGCTGAGGCAGGAGGACTACAAGGTTGTGCCTAGCCTGGGCAACTTAGCAAGACTTTGTCTCAGGATAAATAAAAAATAAAAAAAGCCTGGGGATGTAGCACAGTGTAAAGGCCTGGTTTCAATTCTCAGTAGAACACACACACACACACACACACACACGTGCACATGGTGTGCAGAAGAAGACGGGGAAGAGGAGGGGGAAGGCAGGAAGGGAGGAGAGAGGGAAGGGGAAAGGAAGGGAGGGGAGATAGGAGGAAAGCCGGGAGAGGAAGAGAGGAGAAGGGAAGGGAGGGGAGGAGAGAAGGAATGGTGGGGAAGGGAGTGGGGAGAAGGGGAAGGGGAGGAGAGGAGAAGGGAAAGGAGGGGAGGAGAGAAGAGAAGGGAGGAAAAGGGAGGGGAGGAGAAGG